GGAAATTCAAAGTAGCTGATCGTCAGCCTGGTGTTTCAGTCATAGAAGCAATGCATCATATGATTCATGTAGAAGGAAAAATGAAGATAACTTCGACTTTTTGACATGCCACATCACAGCCAGAGACAGTGACTGATAAGACACCGAAGAACAATCACACGTTCAGTCTTAAAATAACAGATTAAATAAATGCACTTCTCAAGGAGAAGATTTTCCTTTCCAAGTGCAAACTGATGCTACGGGAATATATCTGTTCTTTCACATGTCTACCATGTTCTTTATTGGGTCAGTCCCCATTGCCGTTTTCAAATGATCGATTCGTATGAGAATTATTTTTTTTCAAATCATTTTAGTGTTTGGCAAAACTATTGTTTACAATCAAGAATGGAGATCCTACCTAGGGCTACTTTGGCAGCCCAAATCCCCGCAGGGATCCCGTTGTTTTCCCCAGGCCAGCAACACACGGAGCAGCCTTCCACTGAAAAAAACATGTTCATGACTACAAAATTTCTTTCATGTGAAATGATCAAGCTTCTAGCTCAAAAATATAGTATGCCATAGCATAATAATGGAAATGCACTGTGCGCGAGCAGCAAAGGAGCCTGTGTGCCTCTGTTGCTTGGATGCTTGCCATAGTATGCCATAGCTTTTTAAGTGGCCACACGTGTTAAAGCATTAGCGCTAGAAATTTAGTAATCCAAAAAAATTGAGAGAGCAGAAGCAAAATCAACAATAAAGGAGCCTGTGTGCCTCTGTTGCTTGCCATAGTATGCCATAGCTTTTTGAATGGCCACACGTGTTAAAGCATTAGCGCAAGAAATTTAGTCATCCAAAAAAATTGAGAGAGCAGAAGCAAAATAAACAATAAAGGAGCCTGTGTGCCTCTGTTGCTTGCAGGACCGCACAGGTTGCAAGAGGCTGTCCAATTGGTCCCGTGATTAAACATGTAGTGTTTAAGCAATTGTGCTATTGTGTGATTAAGCATGTAGTGTTTTCTGGTTCATATGTGAAAAGGCCGGCATTATCTTATTTGCTTTTCTTTTCCTTGGTTTTCATTCTTTACGCCGGCCCATGATAATGAGTACAGTACTGTATAGTATTAGTATCCACCCTAATCGTGTTGTCCTGATCATGCTTCTCTATTTGTTTTTTATAAACATGTATGTAGTTTTGCCTGTATATATACTATATTGAGATACCCCACACATTCTATTAGTTACTAAAAAATATGTTATTCCTCAGTGATAAAAAAAATTTGTTGCAATTTGTATAGAGCCGACCACAGATCAAATTATGAGAGCTAAATAAAGCTTTGATTTTGAATTATTATGGTATGCCATGGTATTTTTTATGCCTTTGATTTGCATTTATAAATTCTAATACCATCTATGATCAGAGCCAATGTCTTGGAAATATGCTATAAAGAGGCACTTTTGTGCTTGAAATATGCTATCAGCAGTAAGACTTTTGCTAGAAGTTGCTTCAAGATGGTGCAGACCAGGCAAGTTCATCCATTCATAATTTGCCGGTAATTAAGAAGTTTAAGTTGTGGTTATAACAGGGCCCAAGAAAATGATTGCAGTTGTGGTAACCCAAGGACCAGAAGTCGATTCTGTATGCGTGCAGCCTGCAATAAATTCTTTGGTTTTACCAATCTCTAATGGTGAATATTTATGGGGCAATTTTTTCTTCTTCCAGTTGGACGAAGCATACCCATATTTACTTTCCTAAAACTGAAGATGTTAACTCATAAGGGATCTGGGTTGCTACATTTATTCATGCAGCATTTAGAGCTTTCCTGGACGAAGCATACCCATACTTTATTTTTGCTTCAACAACAGTTGTTCCTATCCAGTAACATCAGCTGCAGATCATGCTCTTCTGTATAACCTTTCTGGTCTTGTTTAATTCTTTTTGGTGAATCCAGGTGCAGTTCTGTTTGCTGTCTGCATACTGCACTTTCTCATTTCTTGTGCTTTGCTGTCGGTTGTTTTTCTGCAGGGAATTGCTTTGCTTTCGGTTGCTCTGGTGACAGATCTTTCTTGATTATTGGATCATTAATGTAATTTTGATTGGACCACTTGCTGTAGTTTTGTTAGCTAAGTCTGTATTATTACCTTGCACATATAAGCAAATTTAAGACCTGTAATTCTTATGAAGCAGGGAAACATGACCCGGTCTTTTTACCTTTAACATTCTGAAGATCTAAGGTACGAGGGAACCTTGAATGTACCTCATGTCTATTCTGTGACCGTCCTTTGCTTCAACACGAAATTCGTGCAAGTCTTGGAGCTTTGTTAGACCTCCAATGCTACGAATTAATTGGAACAATTTTATCTGCATCTGCATGTAACTGTCGCTGGCTAATAAATTTGTTCATGTGTCTTGGTTACTCTTTGAATCTACAGCTTCGCAAGCCAAGAACCTGTAGATTGCACAAGGTAGTATCATTAGATTTGGGAAGTCCACGTAGAGGGCAATCTCAGTGAACTTTTTGTTGATCATTAGTAGACTGAATCATCCCCTACTTACTTAAATCATCCTTTTCATTCAGAAACTAATCCAGTTCAATTAATATGTGAATTCGTAAACTTCATATTTATCTGCTTTATGAAATATGTCAGTTATTCAGTTGCTTCACAATCTCTCCAGTTACCTAATATGAAATGTCACTATCATCATTACCTAGATTTCTGACTTTTGAAATTTGGGTTTCACAGTGATGATGTTTTCACTATCTCTCTTGTACCATCACAAATAGTCCATGTATATTATGAACGCGATAGATCTGACCCGTGCATGGCTTGCATTTTGTTTTAATTGTTAACCACAGTTTAATACACCTCTGATAGGCACATCAAGGTTGTCGCGTGCCATCAAGGTGTTTGTTGCAGTCCTATAGATATTGGCACTCCATTTGTAGGTAAATTCTGTGACCGGTGGATAATTAGCATTATTTTTTTTTACTTTTGAGTTTCTGATATGTGCCTAATGATTTACTGGTTTTGATCTTGTTTGTATAAAAAATGCATGGAAGTCCAATGATAATAAACAACGAGACTTTGTGCAGAGTTATATTTGTGGTTTTGGTTGTGATTATTTTTCCCTATGGGTTTGTGCTGGTTACATTGTACGTTCCATCAGGGTTTGTGTAGTGCAGGGTCTAATGGAAGTTCAGATTGGTTACTTCCCAGTTCTGGAAAAATAAAAGTCAGAAAATCTATTGGTTTATTCACTGATGCGAATTTAGATTGTTGTAGCTAGATATGAGAGGAGTTCCTGGAGATTTTTAATTCCTATGGTCGTATAGATTGGATACATCCCAGCATTTTGGAAAATAGAAGTGAAAATCTATTGGTTTCATGATGCGAATTTAGATTGTTGTAGTTGGATATGAGAGGAATTCCTGGAGACTTAATTCATATGGTCGTAAAAGACGATCTTAAATGCATCATCTAGAGAACGTGGTAGAATAGAGAGCACAGTGAACACGATTATTATAGTCTGAAGTTCGTTGCTTTGATTATTATTACTCAAGGTGATGATTGGGTGCAAACAGCCTGTTGTGAAGAACAAATCAAAACATTATTCTTTTTGTCAAGGTACTACATACTGCAAACTTGGATTACCTTAGTCTTTTTATTCCCCTGCACGTGCAACTTAATTTGGTTTTATGCTGAAAGTTTGCCTTATTGAGTTTCATGTAGTTTTATATAGCTGTTCAGATGTGCAGCCAATGTGCCTCTTGTCCTGGTTCTGTACCCCACGCTCAAGATGTTGCAGATGATCTAAAATATGAAGAAGGGTGGCCTTGGTATATCAGTCTGTATAAAGCAAACTGACAATTCAAAGAGACGGTTAGTTCTAAATGGTTGAGGAATGAATTAATCTTGTTACGGTGACATGTTCATGCACAAATTACCAGGGCATCATTTGTTCCCGTTGCAACGCATGAAAAGGTCTATATAGTAGAGTTGGTGAGCCTGTGACGCCGCGCTCTCTGAGACTGTTAATTTTATAAACTTTGCTTTTGGGATTAAATATCATTTTAACATCGGTATTTAATTTCATAATATTGTTATCTTATCGTGTGATCTGTGTGTTTTTATTAAAAAAACTTTGTTGTCCCGTAGCAACGCACGGGCATGCTACTAGTACTATTGCAAAGGTTCAGAAGTTCCATTGTTTACTGAATTTTATTAATAGTTCACTAAGAACCATTCCACGTAACTCTTTGCGTATCCATAGAAACAAATCATTAACTTCCTTAATTGTATAGGCATTTACGTTTAATTGGGGAGGAAAATTTGCTCCTTCCGTATCCATTCAAAGTTAGAAATAAACAAATCATTAACTTCCTTATTATACTCATTTACGGTTAATTCAGGAGGAAAATCTGTGCTTCTTTGCGGTAGTAGAGACATGCATGCACGGAAATTACGGTTGGACGAAAGGGAAACTGAGGTTCGCCATGCAGCCAGCCAAAAATTACGGGTGGAGTAAGGGAAAGAAATTACGGTTGGAGGAAGGGAAACTGAGTGTCGGCATGCAGCCAGAAATTACGCCTTTACGGTTGCGGCAGCTGGTCCAGCTGACTTTACGATCGCGGGAGATCTCGTCCGACTTCACGGTTACGGTTGCGGAATCGCTGTTGCGAGATCACGGGCGGGGCACTTTTACGGTTGCGGATCAAAAACCACCGTAACTTACGGTTACGGAGCAATCGCTGTTGCGTCGGGCGGGCAGCGCTCTAAATAGGCTCTAAATAGCGTGGTCCTATATATATAGAGAAAGAGAGAGAGAGAGAGAGAACCTAACATCTGCTACACATTACACATTCTATTTTTACTCTTTCTCCGTCTATACACACTCCCGACCTCTCAACAATCCAAACCCCATGCAACCCTCCTAAAAGAAACTTTGTCCATCAAGAATCAGATCACAAGGAGACCAGGAGTGATCAAGATCGATCTAGCTTAGGCGAGCAGGCGTGGATCATCATGGATTCTACAACAGAAGAGGCTTCACCGTGTGTGGAGCGGGGATTCGATGGGCTGCCATATCCTGGGTTCTGGGAGCAGGTGACATTGCGTTCCATGGCCATCGCGGTGCTGCTCGCGGCCATCTTCTCTTTGGTCACACTGCGGATCTACATGACCATTGGGGTGGTAGGAGCACTCAATATGCCTACAAACGTCCTCAGCTTCTTCTCCGTGAAGAGCCTCGTCTCCCTGCAGCGGCGCTACGGCATTGCTGCAGCTCCCTTCACGCGCCAGGAGAATATCTTCCTGCAGACCTGTGTGATCACCTGCGTTAACACTGCAATCTCAGGTAATGCTGAACACAACTTTTCCTCTCTACCTGTGTTTCTGGTGTAAGTCAATCGTCAACAATGGAGTAAAGGTTATATAGGTGTCTACTCTTCTTAATTTACCTGCTTGCTCTGCAGCGCGTAACAATTATTGTAGCCATTGGAATTTGATCAAGTTCTCGACTCTATTCTATATATAGGTGGTTTGCCAAATTACATTATTGCAATGAACACTCAGGTGGCAAAATCTCTTAGAGATGATCCAGATAAAGCGGACATTATTGACCGCATACCAACTGGAAAATACACGTTATTCCTTTTCCTTACTGGTCTGGTCGCGATAACATTGATGCTACCACTGGCACAGGTAATTTATCTTCCATTTATCAAAAATACTGCATCCATTCTAAATTATAAGTAGTTGGATAATGCTACGGTACCTCCATTACTTGCTGCTAGGAGGTATAACTCAAATGAATCTAAGCAATTGATTTTTTTTTATTTTATAAATTAGTTAAATAAATAAATATAATTTAGGAAAAGAGAAAAAATATTCCCAAATCCCATAATCACAGGAGAATAAACAAGTTGGCAGGCCCTTCTTTGTTTGTGCGCACCAACTGGTGCAGCAACTCACACCACGGGAAGCAGAGTCTAAATATTCTATGCAGGCGTGCTGTATAGCGCAGCCCGTGCAGCACCACTTAGATGCCGTCCAATCATGCTAATGCATGCTCCGATCTTTCGGTTAGATGTGCAAGCAGCGCATAGCTGTGTAGTCCATAGAACTGTCTGATCTGGCTGTTTCGCGTAACAAACTCCATCAAGCCGCTGGCCTGGTGGGACGGACACACATCGCTAGCATGCAATCGGTGCTGCACGGGCTTGCGCTATACAGCACACCTGTATAGAATTTTTTTGTTGTCCCTCGTCAAAACATCGTTCATGAAAGACACGGTGGCCGAGTGATTTTTTTTAGCTGGCCGGGTGCAACATGTAATAAAAAAGTTACGTGTGCAATTAAAAAATGTTTTACATGCATAAGAAAAATTGGTACAGTTGGAAAAAATCACGCACATGAATACAGCAGAAAACTCTCTGCATAAGAACACGCTAGCTAACAGGAGGTACACGATCCTGTGCATCAAATATATATTAAAAAAAGTTACACGTTCCTGTGCATCAAATATATATTAAAAAAAGTTAGCTAACACGACACTGTTTGTTAATAAGGCGAGAAAGCTTACACACGCTATAGAAATATATTGCCAAATAAAAAGATTTACCACGATCACACATGCATCAATTAGATTAAAAAAAGTTTTTTATATCTAAAACTTTCCTTAGCTATCCTATTTTCTAAATTTAAAAATTAAATAAATATATAGTTTACATATTACCTCTTCTTATGAAGTAGTAGAAGATTCTAACCATCCGATCTAATTAAATGAAGGGCTCACAGTCATTTAGGGGTGTACCACAACAAAGCCCTAAGTAGTTTTAGATTTTCTAGATACATAACCTTTGTGCAACTAGCCTAAGACCAAATCATCTCGTGCAACTTAGTACCGAACATATAGCCATGCACAATATCATTGGATGGTCTGCTACCATTGACCAAAAGATTCAGTGATCACTGATTCAAATTATAAATATGTTTGAACACCCAACTCATGGAATTCAACATCTTTAGTTGAGTTCATTAATGTATTATTAACCTTCAAGGCCATTTTTGAGCTACCTAGCTCAAGTTTGACATGTGTGCATCTCTCTAACACTCTCTCTGGTTAAAAATAAGTTAAGCTACTAACCTTAGCCCCCCTTCATATTATGTCCAAAAGAAAACAAATACTCATTATATTTGTAAGTACACCCCAACCAAGTTGCTCCCTATATCTATAGAATATTTAGGATTCGCGAATACCCTTTGCATTCATACTTAAATCTGAAATCGAAGGTCAAGAATACCATGGGGCCCTCAATGTGACTTACCAAAGTGAATGGCTCCTATAAAACACACATTAGTCAAAGTAATTTATGTCCAACAACCACCAAAATGGAAATTGTGGCCTCCATGTCCTCGCTATGCCACAAGGCTTATAGAAATGAATGTAGGTCCAATTCAGGAACCTTAAAGAATACCCTCAGATGCCTAGACCTAGCAAGCGAGTGTCTATTTTAAAAATGGCGAAACCTAGTAGAAACTAGGTTGCATTATATATTAAGAAAAAATATGGAACCCGTATTCATTTCGTTTAGAACTTGAAGTTGAGTAGTCTAGGCATGCATCGACATCTTTAGCAAACTGAGTCAGTCTTAGCTTCATGCACCAAAATAAACTGTCATTGTTTCTCAAGGAGTTTTTCAACATATTAAAAAATGTATATGGACACGTTAGTTATACACCTACATGTGGACAACACAATAGTTGGAGATTTAACTAAGAACATAAACATCAACCCATTATTGAAAATCTTCAAAACTATTGATGAATTCAACAAAAATATTACAATCAGAGGCAATATGTTAATGTGAATATCGGTCTCACACCCAAAGTACTCTAAGGCAAAAGTCGCAAACTTACCGAAGAACACAGTAGGGACGCTTTCACGGTGAAGAGAGTCAAGGTTCATGGGCAAACAAGCAAATGACCCCGATCACGCTTACGTGACGAAGAATGTCTAGTTTTGAGCAAACTAGCAAAGGAGTTGTCAAAGCTCTAACCGGAGAGACCTCGTCGGAGCGAGGACGTTGGTGGGCTGCCCTAGGTCGGCCAGCAAGCCTAGGGCGCTATCCTTGGTCATCGAATCAAGTGAGGAGAGGCATAATGGCGTTGGAAGAGAGTTTAGGGGGAAAAGGAGCAAAAGTATATTGTAGATTGATTTGGATGGATTGTACTCCGCTCGATCTGTCGTGACTTGATTTATCATGTGGCAGGTCAAAATCTCATGCGTATCTGGTCAAACACAACTCTAATCCGGACTAGACAACAAAACTCAGATTGGGCTAGTTTTGACAGCCCAAAAAGTGTCTTGGGCCAGTTTTGACAGCCCAAAAAGTGGCCTAGGCCAGTTTTCACCAGGCAAAAGGCAGTCTGAAACTTCCCAGGAACATGATTTCTTCATCTGAAATCAAAATAGACATTTTATTTATTCATTTCTATTGTCTTGATTTGAGAAATCCAATAGAGAAGTCTAATTTGCATTTTGAGAAACTTAAAAAACTAGCTTCGGCCGGTTTGTACAGTTACTGCTGGACAGTCTTCCCAAAAGGGTGATTTCTTCGGCCAAACTCCAAACTGGACGTTCTATATATATTTTCCATCGTCTCGATTAGAGGAATGCAACGGTGGAGTCCATTTTGAATTTTGAGAAAGTTATAAAATTGGCCCTAGCAAGTTTCTGGAGGCCAGCCTTGGATCACCTCCTTTTTGACAATACTGGTTGTCAACACAATACATACATTTTAGATATGAACTTGTCCAAAAATCACTACAATATGGTAAAAAACATAGAAAGCATTCTTTTTTCCCACCACTGTATTTATAATTATTGCGAGAACTCAATTAATGGGAGTTTGTAATCATCACATAAATATTTCATGTGTATCAGGGCTAAGCAAAATTCTGCATTATCTTAAAAAAGGTATCACTACTACACGTTTGATTTTGCGTGGTGTTACACGGAGGCAGACAGCCTGGGGGCCGCCGCGATTAAGCCGTGGCCAAGCCGGCTGCCAAGCGAACACCTCGGTTAATATTTAACGGAGGCAGGCCGCATAAGGCGCCCATCACGGTTAACCCTGGATTAACTGAGGCAGACACTGTAACGCAACCGCCTCGGTTAATAGGTGATTAACCGAGACGATCACATTAAGGCGACTGCCTCTGTTAATTGATTAACCGAGGCGGTTGTTTTAACTAAACCGCCTCCGTAAATAGGTGATTAACGGAGGCGGTCATTTTTAAGTTGCGGCCTCCGTTATGGTAGGGGAAGGGCAAAACTATTGCCACATGACAACTTCGTGATTCATCGAAAAACAGTTTTGCCTTTCCCCTACCATTATTTTATTCTTTTTTTGCGAAGGTACCATTATTTTGTTCTGTTAGGTAAACTATTTATATCAAGATATACTCCTAGTATTCAAATATAGCATGAACATCAATTCACTAAAGCCCATTTATCGGTAAGCATACTCTTATCACTTGCATGTAGTTATTTCTCTAATAGTAGCCGGCAAGTTCACTATAGCAGACACCACATATGAACCTCTCGTAACGATTTAATTTTTTTAAAGTGAATGTGTTGACTGGGCTGACTAAAGAGAGGACAAATTTTGACTTTTTGATCCATAAGTCATATGAATGATAAGAGATTGTGATTACACGTAGATCTCGTCAAAACGAAAGTCGCTGTGGGGGGCCTCGACCCACTAGGAGGGAGGCATGGACGCCTGAAAGAGCAGGGAGCAAATGACATTATTCAGGGAGCGAATGATGCGTTCGGCTGTACCGATTTGAGGTGAAGTGTAGGGGCAAGACATACTAAGATGGATGCCCTGGGTGAGGAAAAAGTTACGGGCAATTTCGGGTGCCCGTAATTTCGGGTTCGGGTTCGGGTATGCCCGATATACCCGAAATCGACGTGCGGCAGCGGCTAGTGAGGCGGCGTTGCGGCTCGGGACCGGCGTGGACGCATGTCGGAGAATGAGAGGGCGGCGTGCGGTGGCCCGACCGCCTGGCGTAGAGGAGGGCGAGGGAGTTAGGGCGGCGGCCGATAGGCTGGTGGCGAGGATGCGGGATGCCTAGTGTGGGTGAGGTCCGCCGTGGCGCGGTGGCGCAGTCTGCGAGTTCACGAGACGGCGACAACTCTGCCTCCGCCTTCGCCTCCGCGCGTGGCGATTTCGTGCATCACCCCAGGCCACATGCCCCTTCAGCCTTAGTCGCGGGGGCTAGTCATGGTTGCGCCCACGCTGAGATGCGACTCATGAGACAGGGAAAGGGTAGGAGGTGAGGTTATGGGCCCACGGAAGTGCAGAGGATTGTTGGCGTATAGGATTGTTGGTCTGCTAAGCTCGGCCTACGGAGGATTGCTCGGCGCTTGGCCTACTGCAGGTACTTCGGGTACCAGAAGTTATTACCCGAATTACCCAAAGTAATATCGGGTAATAGGAATCACTATCAGAATTTTAGATCGGGTAATGCGAGTTTGGGTAGTTCAGGTTCGAGTCCAGGTATTTCGGATTCGGGTAATGGGTAACGGGTATTTTGCCCTAGGCTAGCCCTAACTGACAAGCATGATATAAATCAGAACAATCCACTATCTGACAAGAGACACTAGACGCAAGCTTCGACAACGCCTCATGACTAGGGTGGCTGAGACGCTGATGCCACAGCGGAGAGGCAGCCCGACAAGGGATTGTGCTGGAGGGAGGTGAAGAGGATATAGCGGTCCAGAGCTATTCCACCTGACGATCTCGGTCCGAGACGGAAGAGCCTTCACAGAACAACCAGCAAGGTCAAACTCAACAGAGCAATTATTGTCGGTAGTAAATTGGCCAACAGAGATGAGATTCTTAATAATTTGTGGAGACACAAGAACATTATTAAGGCGTAAAGCATGGGGTAACTCTTTGGAGCTAGTGGCTGTGATAGGAAGAATAGAGCCATTACCGACAATAATAGATGAAGGAGTAGGATACCGCGGGAAAAGAACATTTAAAAGAGAGGTCGACTGAGAAGTCATGTGTGAAGTAGCACCTGAGTTGAAATACCACTCATTGGCCTATGGCAAAGTCAGTGATGTGGTGCTAAAGGCGGAGGCAAGGGCCGTCGAATCCCAGGAAGGGAGGCTGGCCATAGGGTTGTAGTACCCTGGTGCAACCCACTGGCCAGTCCCGTCAGGGGCAGCAGCAGGCTGCTGCTGGGAAACAAGGGCTTGCTGCTGCTGGGCGAGGAGGGCCTACTGATGTGGATGAAGCGGGAGGGGTGCTAGCAGAGGACGAGGAACCCCCGGCCACATCTGGATGGACCCCATCCAGGGGTTGTAGATGGAGGGCCAGTTCCTGGCCCCGGTTGCAGACTGGATGGCGTCAGCCGGCTGCTGTGTACTGGCAGTGGGGTGCTGAGCCTGTCCTCCAGCACCGCCACCACCATTACCACCCTTGCCACCACCGCCGCGCTTGCTGTGATGATTGTTGGAGGGCTTGGAGGCAGCAGCACCCCCGAGCTCGTGCCAGATGACGGTGGGCCTAAGGTTGGAGGGCTTGACATGGTGGAGGCAGTGAGTGCAATGGCAAGGGTGTCCTTGCGGTTCTCTAGGGTGAGTTCCTCAAGTCTGAGGTCGTCACGCGCCTCTAGGAAGGAGGACAAGGGACAACTGCAACAAAGAAGGGCCCCGACATGGTTGAAGCGCTCGTTGAGGCTGCGGATCACGTTGATGACGAGGGTGTGGTCGATGATGACCTCTCCAAGGGTAGTGAGGTCGTCAGCCATCTTCTTGAGGCGCCAACAGTAGTCGGTGATACAAAGGTCGCCTTGAACAAAGTTGCGAAACCTTGTCTCTAGGTGGATGGATCGTGCCTCCAGATTGCCGAGAAACTAGGACTCGACAGTGAGCTAGGCGTGCAGAGCGGTGGGACCCTAGGTGGAGATGACTTCGGCAAGGTCGTCGGTGAGGGTTCCCATAATCCAAGACTCGACAACGCAGTCCATCCCTAGTCCGGGGAGATAGGGACCGGAGGCTCATGGCATACGTGATCCTAAAGAGAGAACTTGCCGAGGGTTAGCATGAACTGATTGCGCCAGTGGTTGAAGTTAACGGAGTCGACGTCGAGGATGATGCTGACGAGGTTCCGGATGTTGTTGACGGCGACCGCCTAGGCATGTAGGTTCAGAAGCACAGTAGCTTCGTGAAGGAGCATGGCGGAGTGGAGGTCGGTCAGGGAAGCCAAGGCGACTCCAGAAGATTCTGCATTGGTAGATGGTTTGGCGGTCGTGCGCTCCTTGGCGGCACGTGCCACGGCTTCGCTGGCGTGCTGGGCAGCGGTGTCGCGCTCCTTGGTGGCGGCCGCGGCCTCCTCCTCAGCCTAGAGTGCACGCAATAGAGCGGCATCGTGGCACTGGGCGGCGGCGGCCTCCGTGTTGGCCTTCTCCTGGGCAAGGCGCAGGGTGAGCTCGTCGGCCTAGACGGTGGTGAGGAAGGCGTTGGCGGAAGCAGCCAGGGCATCGTCATCTGCGGGCTTGGGGGTGGGAGCAGAGGAGCTAGGCATGGCGGCGTTGCACGACGAGGGCCGGCGTGCGAGCATTGCATGGCGAGGGCTAGCGTGCGAGTAGGCAGCGGAAGAATAGGATCTAGGCGGCTACCATAAAAGTGAATATGGCATAGGGAAATAGTAGATTGATTGATAGAGTATAGGGAGGTACAATATATAGGCAAGGATCAAGTAGAGTTATAGAACACACCCAATCAACGGAGATCCTTGCCTAATCTGTAATCATCTACCACTATTCCCTAGAGGCAGCCCAACCACCAGGCGTGGGCGCCAAGGCCCATGTGGCCGGCCCTATAGGCGCATACTCTAACAGTTTGGACCCTGAACTAATTGTTGGATTTTATAGACTAGAACTATATGTTAACCCTTGATAGTTGGGTTTTATGGACTAGTGAATTAACAACTAGTCGGGGCTTTAGCTAAACTTTAGCCCACCTATTAGTCCTTCTGTTTGGATCCTCAAGGGCTAAAGTTTAGCCAACTAGTTGTTAGTCTAAAGGATCAAACAGGGCCTTAGCAATGCAGGTGCAGGCTAGCTCCATGTGTCATTCATAGTATACCTTTTTTATTCAGTATAAAGGAAGTTCCTTATTTGCAGTTGCAAAATCTGCAATCCATTCTCTGCTATATTTGGATATCCCATTAACATAGGGCTACTGCCCATATCAAATTGGCAAATAAGGAGCAAAGGGTGCAAAAAAATTTGTATCCTTATATGTTACACTAGAATTTCTCAGAAACTGGGTTTTTTAAATCATGAAAAAAATAAAACTATTACTATATTCGTTCCAAAAAGAAGTTTATTCTAACTTTGTCCAAAATCAGATCAACTTAGTTTGGCCAAATCTGTAGAAAATATCAACATTTATGACATCAACTGGATATACTATAATTAAAATACATTTCATGATAAAACTAATGATACTTATTTGGATTCATAATGTAGATTTATTTATATATATGACCTTAGTCAAACTTAACATGACTTGACTTAGGAAACATAAAATGCATACAAATACACTTATTTCTCCATCTAGTAAAAACATTGCGAGCCGGTTTTGTTGGAAGGAATGATATAAAGAACTACTAAGGACTCTACTTTATGTTTGTCTCCAGTAAAAACATTGCGAGCTGGTTTTGTTTACCTTTAGTAAAAACATAACTCACTGAAGGCTTTTCTTCTATCTATATATAGGTTATGATTGTCGACTACAGATTGTTGTTTCCAACAGGCTCGGTTGTGGCTCATCTTATCAATAGTTTTCACACGCAGCAAGGAGCCTATACAGCAAAGTTCTGTCCTTTTTCTGAATGTAAAATGGAAGTCACAGGATCTTTTTATCTTCCTTTTTGGCCTTGCGGTAACGTTCGTCATCTTTTCAGGTTGCAGGTTGCCGCTATATTCAAAACATTTCTAGGAAGCTTTTCTTGGTCTATGTTCCAGTGGTTCTTCGCTGGAGGCGATAATTGTGGATTTCAGGCCTTCCCAATGTTTGGACTAGAGCTATATAAGCGTAATAGGTGGGAAATCTTTTCTAGATTATGCTTGACACAAGTTTACTTGTGATATTGCTACCAAGATCATAAAATAAATATCTTTTCTATACAGTCAACACTCCCTAATCAGGGGCGGAGCCAGGCCTATGGCAACTAGGGCTCTAGCCATCGGTGTAGAACTAAAATCCAAACTTAAGATTATTATAAAAATCAATAGAATGGACAGATAAATAAACTCATTTTAGATGGGATGATTCATCATAAGTCTATTCCTCAAATTTACTGGAATGACTTCATTCCTCGTACATTTACGAATTGAGATGGTGATACATCAACTCGTTCCATTGCCCCAAACCAAACAAAAACAAAAGAGTGAGATGAGGACCGCAAATCAAATACCCCCAAAGTCTAAGAAGGCACTACTAGCCCTTCTAGCTTCATCCGCGCTCCCTCTGTACTAAAAAAAATATAAATGACTTGCAACACATGAAACATGGTAGCGACCAATTCACCATTTAATTACAAAATCTCTTTTTCAGCAGTACATCTTAATTATTAAAACACAATAGATCAGAGTTGCTAAAAACAGTTTAAACTACTGAAAAGCATAAGATCTGAACTTGAATAGCAAAATTGTTTTTAACAAATACATGCCATACTAAGTGCTAATTGGACATGAGGCATTTTGATCTAACATTTGGTACTTTTCAAGTTCTAAAAGTACCCAGAAGCCAGAACTAAAGTCATAAAACACGAACCAAGATAATTATTAAAAGTTAATCAAGGTTGTTGGTTTTGTTCTTAGCGTTGAATTGGAGGAACATGAAGACCACTGTACAGGAACCTCAAAACAAAAATCTATCTATCTATCTATCTATCTATCTATCTATCTATCTATCTATCTATCTATCTATCTATCTATATATATATATATATATATATATATATAAGGATCACAGTCCTCAATAGTTTATATACCTACCAGCATGGATATTCATATGCTTAATTTGAAACAAGTACTAATGAGTAATAATCTCAAGAATAAATATGTTCTATGACAAGAACATAAATTATAATCCTTTTACCTCATGACACCTTTCGATGGAATATAGAATAACTCTTGCAAAACAAGCCAAAACCATTTCTTCTATATATTTGCATAATTATCTATTTGTTCAGTCCTAATATATGTTTTTATACTTACAGGTTCTATTTTGATTTCTCTGCATCATTTGTCGGTCTGGGTATGATTGTCCCGCATGTTGTAAACTTTGGGTTGCTTTTTGGGGCCATCACCTCTTGGGGATTATTATATCCTTTCCTTCAAAGTAAAAGAGGACAATGGTATCACACTGACAGTCCTACAAGTTTAAATGGAATGAATGGATATAAGGTACACTTGAATAATGGTTATGCATATTTACTTTATCATTTCTGTTTTGCTTCCCAAATGCAGATGATGTCTACTACGCAACTTTGTGCTAATAGGATAAATCATTTCCTATAACATTTTGTTTATTAAACTATGCCAGGCCCTCCTTACTTTGGAATTTTACTAGCATTTTATGAAACAACTTAATCTTACGTAAGCAAAGGCAAAAATAAAATCTTGAGTTACAACACTGCCTGGTCAAACTACTAATGTGGGGCAACATCTAAACAAACCAAAAGCAATTTCTGATAGACTTAATTATTCAAAGAACAAATAAACCTTAAGTTTCATTGCAATAGCAATGTGATACATCAGATACCATTGTATATTTCTTCTATGTTCAATGTTTATCCAATTATGTTTTTCAAGAGGCTATAGAAGATGAACCATTTCATATTTGCTTGCACATTAATCTCCACGGATATAAGTCCACTTCTTGCCTTCCCTGCACAACTATAGGGATGATTTAGCATCGGCTTTTAATAAAATATCAGAACCAAAACATTATCGCCCAGCTAGCCCCTCAAGTTGATAAATATCTCATGTCTGAACTAAACATGTTATCCTCAGGGTTTTGTTTTCTCGAGCAAGATTCTCTTGGGCACTTCCATGTTATAGCTGAGCCTTAAGTTCAAAAATGTATTTTGTCATTGGTTTAGTTAGATGAATGGACCAAAACATTTTGATACCCCCAAAGTGATTATGTCATGATCGGCAAGACCTACACTAGGAGGAAGCAACGCCGTAAGTCTACAATTAGTGGCTAGTAAATGGCAATAGGCCGAATTATTATATTTTAGCTTTAATAGATGGTTAGGTTATTGGGCCAGGCCCATTAGTGATTGTAAACCCCCTTATATATATGAGGGAGACGCTTAATGAGAAACTAAGCAAGTTTAGGGTTAATCCCTTTATCCCTTCCCCCTTCCTCTCTTCTCTGCGCCGCCCCCTCTCCTCTCCTATCTTCCCAGCCGCCGCCGCCACCACCAGCCAGGTGGCCAAACAACACGCCGCTGCCGCCTCCCCTGTTCTCTCATATTGGCTCCCAGCCGACCCAACAACAGTTGGGATCATCAGGCGTGTTACATTTGGTATCCGGAGCCACATCGTGATCAACTCTATGGAGAGCATCCGCGATGTCACCGATCGTTGGGCAAAGATATTCAAAAAAATTTCTCCAATCAGGAGGAAGAACAGAAGTATGTGCCACCTTCAAAATGGTCCATACTACCAACTCCTCCACCGGACCAAAATCTGCCTCCCCATCCAGAACCGATCAACTTACTGCAGACAACTTCATTGGAGGCATTTCCCCAACCGCAGTTCATCAAGGACCCCCGGAAAGGAGACCAACAACAATCGAGGCGATCATCAAACTCCCACAAATTATCATTCCCTGAATACAACGGGAACGATGAACCGTCACAGTGGCTGTACAAATGCAACAATTTTTTCGCTGCCTAGAATACCAAAGAGGAGGAACGAATACAGCTAGCGGTGTTTCATCTGCAAGGCAACGCCCTAACTTGGTTCATTAGATGGGAGTAGGAAATAGGGCATCCAACATGGCCTCGATTTTTTCAGGCTATCGACAGGCGCTTTGGTCCACCGATACACCACAACCACCTCGGTGACCTTACTTCCACCTACCAGACAGGAGAATTGGATGACTACACAAATCAATTCCTCCTCATAGTGACCAAGGTAACAAGGTTGTCTACCGCTCAACAAGTCATGCTTTATACAGCAGGACTGGCATCAACGCTGCAAATAGACATACAGCTTCAGCAACCAACAGATCTAGAATCAGCGATAGCAATGGCTCGTAAATTTTATATATCAGACAAACAGAAAGAACTCTCACACCCCTTTCAGCATGGAGCCAGGGACATTCAGATATCATTCCACGCCGTCATAGGGATCACCACCAGCCAAACCATGCAGGTACAAATTTCCATCAACGGTCGTGACTTCCTAGCATTATTGGATTCCGGGTCTACACACAACTTCATCGACTCAGACACAGCAGATGACCTCCAGCTGTTACGGACAAATGCACCAAATTCCCTATCAGTGACAGTAGCAAACAGAGATCAAATTTCTAATGTGGGCATATACAATAATCTCAGAGTATAGATTGACACTAAAATCTTCAATATTAACGGTTACAACATCAAATTGGGAGGGTATGACTTTGTGCTAGGCGTCAATTGGCTGAGCTCTCTTGGTCCAATCATCTGGGATTTCAACAACCTCACAATGAAATTCTAGCGCCATGGACGTTAAATCATTTGGACCAGCTTGGGCAAACCGCGCCCTGATCAACCACGAATTCACACACTCAGCCCTACAACAACACTGGAGGCAGTACTGACTAGTTTTTCACATCTCTTTCGGGATTCTCAAGGGCTGCCACCTCAACGCCGATACGATCACCGAATTCATCTCAAGGACCCGAGCAAACCAACAGCTATTAGACCTTACCATTACCCGCAACTCCAAAAAGCTGAATTGGAGAGATAGTGCCATGACATGCTGACACAGGGCATCATAAGGTACAGCACCTCCCCATTTTCATCACCAGTACTACTTGTCAAAAAACAGGATGGATCATGGCATTTTTGCGTGGACTACCGAGCGCTCAATGACAACACTCTCAAGGATAAATTCCCAATACCGGTATTTCTCAAAAAATGCAGTATTTCTCAAAAAATCTAAATGTTCATTTGGCCAAACCATAGTGGGATATTTAGGCCACATTATATCAGATCAGGGAATGGCAGTCGACCTAGAAAAAATACAGGCTATCGCCTCTTGGCCCTAACCGACAACAGTAAAACAACTCAAAGAGTTTTTAGGATTGGCAGGATACTACAGAAAATTCATCAAAGATTTTGGAACCATGGCCAGACCTCTCACGCAGCTATTACGAAAGGATTGTTTCATGTGGACAGAATTGGCAACAACAACATTCAAGCAACTGAAAGATGTTCTCTCTACAGCACTAGTACTCCAACTACCCGACTTTAATAAACCTTTTATTGTGGAGTGTGATGCCTCTTCTGTTGGATTTGGCGCTGTGCTGCATCAGGGAGCAGGACCAACAGCTTTCTTCAGTCGCATGATTGCTCCACGACATGCTAAATTACCCACTTATGAACGAGAGTTAATCAGTCTAGTGACTGCAGTTAAGCATTGGAGACCATACCTATGGGGCCGTACATTTATAATCAGGTCAGATCATTACAGCTTGAAGTACATCCTGGACCAACGACTATCAACAATTCCACAACATCAATAGGTGAGTAAATTATTAGGATATTACTTCTCAGTTGAGTGTAAACTAGGCAGACACAATATAGTGCCCGACGCTTTGTCCCGGAAGGAGACCACAGAACCATCACTAATGGCATTATCAGAGATCCAATTCCCGATATTCAACCAGCTCAAAGAAGAAGTGTCCACCAATGAGGAGGCCACCAAAATTGTTGCTGCTATCATCAAGGGGCTCCTTTCACCATCTTGGAAATTGGAGGACGGCCTCATACTTTATAAAAGGCGGGTACATGTTCCTGCATCCTCCCGATTCTTCACGATATACTTCATGCTATTCATGATGCTACTCATGAAGGATCAGAAAAAACACTCCATAGATTCCGACTGGCTTTTCACACTCCCAAAGCTAAGCAGACAATTCAACAATTCATCAGTAATTGCATAATATGCCAGCGCAACAAGACTGAACATCTCCATCTAGCTGGATTATTACAACCCCTGCCCATACCACATCATATTTGGGAAGATATATCCATGGACTTTATTGAGGCCTTACCAAAGGTGGGAGGTAAATCAGTCTTTCTAACAATGGTGGATCATTTATCCAAATACGCTCACTTCATCCCTTTGGCACACCCGTACTCATCAACCACAGTGGCTCACACCTTCTTCTCAGACATAGTTTGGCTCCATGGACTACCTCACTCGATTGTCAGCGACATAGATGTGGTATTCACTAGCAGGTTTTGGACATAACTCTTTCGGTTGTCAGGAGTGAAATGGCAGATGATATCACCACCCACAATCTGATGGTCAATTGAAGGCAGTCAATACAATTATTACTATGTACCTTAGATGCCTAACCGGTGACAAACCCAAAGATTGGATAAGATGGCTTCCTTGGGCGGAGTCCTGTTATAACACGGCATACCACCAATCCATCAAAGCAACACCATTCAAACTGGTTTATGGAAGGGATCCACCACATTCAAAAAACTATCTGGCCCGGTGATGATATAATACAATCAGTTGATGACTGTTAGATAATCTACTACTACCTTGTGTGAACACAGCAAGGGAAGGCGGCGCCGAAAGGCCCCTATTTGTGATATATGTAGCCGCTTCTGGTGCGAGGCGCCAGACGGCTCACCTACAACCTCAGAGGCACATGCAAGTGGCAGCGTAAAGAGAGTCGACCTTGTATGTTATCTAATTCTTTATTAAACATATCGCTGTATTAGGACTAGATGGATAGAGCTGTATAAATAGACTACCACGATAACTCAGTAAAGAGAGTTCAGATTTGCCATCTCTCAAACAGGGCTTCGGCCAATGCTGGTGTCTTATACTGTGTCTACATGCTCTGTTCTCTTCTTCTTCTTCTTCTAGCTCTAGCCATAGTGTGTGGGGACGGACAACGCTTGTTCGTGGTCAGCACGACTAGTGAGTGCTTGGCAACACTAGCGGGTGCTCGGCAAGACTGGTGAGTGGTTCACTCACCTGAGCCGGTGATCCTATGGGCCAACAAATGGTATCAGAGCCATACAAGCGTCGTCGCCAGACTAACCACTGGTGATGACGGGCGGTTCGGAGATGGGCGACAGCAGTGGCACTGCTGTGGCTGCCTAGCCATGATCGGAGATCATTGTTCGCACGGTGCAGGATGTCAGCGGCACCAGTTGGCCGTCGCTGACTCGCACCAACTATGCAAAGTGGTCGGTGACCATGAAGGTCAAGCTCAGAGCTCGACGGCTCTAGAATGTTGTTGACAAGGGCACCGAAAATGAGGAGGATGACATGTCAGCGTTGGAGGCTATCCTCGCTGCTGTACTGGCGGAGTATAGGGAGCCATTGGGGGCAAAGAGCTCGGCTAAGGAGGTGTGGGAGGCCATTGCGGCGATGCACGTCGGTTCCGACTGCACAAAGAAGGCAACGGCCCAGCTTCTGAAGCAGGAGTACGGCAACCTCAAGTTCAAGGATGGTGAAACGGTGGAGGACTTCTCCCTCCGCCTGCAGACGCTCATCAGCAAGCTGAAGAGCCACGGTGTCACCATCGACGAAGAGGAGGCGGTCTCCAAGTACCTCCACTCTATGCCGGCAAAGTACATCCAGATAGCTCTCTCCATAGAGACGATGCTGGACTTGTCCACCCTCACCATTGAGGATGTGATAGGTCGTCTACGGGCGGTGGACGAGCGCCTAGAGCAGGTGACAACAACGAAGGACAGCGGGAAACTCCTGCTGACGGAAGAGGAGTGAGCTGCTCGGAGGAACTCCGGGAAGGCAGCCTTCTCCAGCCGCGGTGGCGATGGCAAGCGCCGCAGCAAGGCTTCTATTTGAAGAAGAAGCAGGTCGACCCCAACGCCTGCCGACATTGCGGGAAGATGGGCCATTGGGCACGGGAGTGCCCAAACCGCAAGCAGGAGAAGAAGGCTCAGACTCACTTGGCGCAAGCCGATGATGAGGATGAGGTCACTATCCTGATGGCGATGTTCTGTACACTGCACGACATCGAGGTTGAGGAGAGGGAAGAGGTGACGACGGTGGAAGGACCTGGGAAGGCCTTGAAGACCGTCAACCTCGACGAACCACACGCCCAAGTCCACCTCGGATGTGTGGGCGCTGACCAGGAGCAGCGGTGGTATCTGGACTCTGGTTCCAGTAACCACATGACAGGCTCCAAGGAATCATTCTCCGAGCTCGACGACGATGTTACCGGTACGGTGATGTTACCGCCACCACCACCAGCCAGACGGCCAAACAGCATGCCGCTGCCGCCGCCACTGTTCTCTCAGATCGGCTCCCAGCCGACCCAGCAGCAGTTGGGATCATCAGGCGTGTTACAGATTCTCAAATATTTGAGTCCTTGAGCAAGTCTTGGTTCCTTATGGCTGAAAGAAACTATTTTTTTTAAGTCACATATACTTATGTTTATTGAGTTTCCAAAGTAAAGTTATGGGATAATTGAGATTGATTCTTTGAAAACTATTTAGCTTGTGTTTATTGATATATGCAGAACACATTGAGTCATCGCAAGATAATGATATTTCAACGACAACAACCCATTTGGTTGTAAATTAGAGTGACACTTATCTTGCTCCTTAGTCAGCACAAAGTTAATGATGCATGGAAGCAACACACTCCAACTAGTTTTTAACCTATAAGGTCACTACGCCAATTAGTAGATGATGGAATAACTGAGAACTTCTATTTCTGTGTGTGTGTATATATATATATATATATATATATATATATATATATATATATATATATATATATATATATATATATATATATATATATATATATATATATATATATACAGAAGACAATTCTGCGAGTGTAACATTACATTTCCTAACCATTTGTCCTCCATAACCTTATCGTTGAGCCATCTTTGATTATAAAGCACCCAAAGTAGAAGAAATCCCATTTTACCTTCATAATACTAGCCCAAAAATATGTGTCCCTAATTGTCCACTCTACCTATGACAAAGGCTTTGAGCACGAGTACATCAAATCTACTATTGCAAAATCTCATCAGGCATGAGTAACTTAAATACCCATTTAATGAGCAAACCAATGTCTCTACCTACCTGTCCTTTGGGATACACTATGTGAGAACACGAGATAACTCCGAGTCAGAACCCTAATCACTGCTGGAATTCCTTCCAGAACAGGATAATCGGCAGTGATATGGAGGTGGCCTATCACTGCTTGTTTGACGACCCCTATCGGGTTTGACGACTCGGTAGTGATATATCAGTAGTGTTTTAAATTGACGGCTAAGGAATTTAGCAATCTATCTCCTGAAACAGCAAATAGTATTGGCTACAGCTAGCTATAGCGGCAGCTTACAACTAAATTATACATTAAAAAATAGTTATATCATTCTCAAATAGCTATAGCCGAAGATAGCGGCAGTTATAGCAGAAGATTTAAAACCTTGTATATCACTACTAGGTTGTAGCCTTAGCCGGCAGTGATTTGACACCTATCACTGTTGTTTTGTGGCTTGAACCAGTAGTGATGTGTCGCTGTCGTGTGGTGGTTTGAGTTGGCAGTGATAGGTGCTTTCAATGCCAAATGAATAGTTTCCCCCAAATTTTGTGCATCCTAGGCTTACGAACTAGTAGTGATAAGAAAAAATTGTCGGCTCTAGCACAATCGACAGTGATTGCATTTTCTGGCGTAGTGACAAGTGGATGACATGGTACACAACATTTTGTGAGACAATATTTTTTTCATGTTTTTCACTTAACCAGTAGAATCTAGATCCAAAGTGACTTAGCTTCTTATGTACTTATGTGTGGAAATAGCAAAGGATATCATAAACAAAAGTAGACTACTAACCACTGATTTTATCAATGTAAGTTGTCCATCTGTAAATGATGTTTCAAGACTTTCCAGTTTTTCCAATCAGATTTCTCAACATCCTATTGGATGAGGATGCCGAGAAACATAGAGGAAAGTCACATGATTTACATCCGGCGTATTCCTCCTGCATTCCAGGCATCACGAAAGCACTTATGGAAAATTAATCTTAATGCCCAAGAATATTTCAAAACTCCAAATGCACAAAGCAGTACCTTCATTTTGCATGCCTTCTCCAGTTTGTGCTCCATAAAAAGAGTTGTTCAATGTATGGCACAAAGCAGACCTTCGGTTTGCATGCCTTCATTGCAGAATTGGGAGACCGCCATCCACCAAGTGTGGCACAATGCCACCTACTTGTCCATCAGCTTTGGTTGTTCAGTGTTGTAATAAGGGTGTAAGATAAGAGAAAAAATACATGTTTCTTTCTACCGTACATGTCTACTGTATGGCTGGTTCTCTCTCTCTCTCTCTCTACGTGTGTGTGTGCGCGCGCGCGCGCGTGCGCAAACCTATATCAGTGGGTCAAGGGTGTGGATGTATGCCTCGACCACCTTGATTCAAGTTCACATGGTAGCAAATTAAGGTTCCTATTTTCTTTTTAATATAAAGTCACTAGTTTCTCCAAGGTTGTACTGTAGTTCTACACACACTCTGTTCCTGATTTTTATACCCTTGCTAGATATCCAACCATTCAAGTTCGCTTTATGTTAGCATGTAGAATATGTTGTGATATTCACCACCATTTATAGAATTCTAAACATGCTCTTGTTGATGTTATATCCAATTTTATAATTCTTATGCTCCACATACAAAGAAGGCTAACTCCTCTATGTTATGTGGCAGATTTTCATTGCCGTAACAATGATTATCACTGAAGGAATGTTTAACTTCATTAAACTGCTTACCGTGAGCTCAATTGACTTCTACAAGAAGAGGCAAGAAAAAGATTCAGGGAAGATTAAATACAGGTTGACAAGCCCCAGCCTTAATTATGATAATCGTAAAAGGCTCGAGGTGTTTCTTGGTCATAGAATCCCACTTTATGTTCCAGTTGCTGGATATATTGGATGTGCAATAGTATGTTCAGTTGTTATACCTTGGATCTTCCATCATATTAAATTCTATCACATGGCCCTATTGTTCATCATTCTTCCTGTTTTTACCTTCTGCAACACGTATGGAACAGGACTCACAGATTGGTCAGTTGCACAATCTTATGGCAGGTTCATACAATTCGTCATAGCAGCATGGGTTGCCAAACCTGGTGCAGTTATCGCTAGCCTTGCAGCTTGTGGGGTGTCTGTGGCAGCTCTTAATGTTTCTTCACAAGCCATGCAAGACCTTAAGACTGGTTATATGACTTTGACTTCCCCAAGAGCTGTAGTGGCTGGGCATATATATGGTATACTAATTGGTTCTATTATTAATCCATGCATTTTTCTTGCATTTGAGGCAAATGCCAAAAGTACTGCACCCATTGGATCAAAGGATTCAGAGTACTCATGTCCCTCTGCAGCAGTCTATCGTGCCATTGGGCTACTTGGGAAGGGAGGAGTGAAGGAGCTCCCAGATCACTGCATCACTCTCTGTTTGGTTACTTTCTTCATAACACTAGCTATTGAAACAATTAGATTAGTGTCCCAAAGAAAAAATTGGAAACTGCAAAATTTCATCCCATGCATGATAGCAATAGCTCTACCATTCCTTACTGGACCTTACTTCACCATTGATATGTGCCTAGGCAGTATCCTGTTAATCATATGGACTAAAAGAAATAGACAAGGTGCAGAGTTATTGACGTCAGCAGTTGCAGCAGGCTTAATATGTGGAGATGGATTGTGGGTTTTGCCATCATCAATACTCAGCATCTTCAATGTGTATCCACCAATCTGCATGAAATTTCTTTCGAGTGGAAAACAAGTGGATACTGTGGACTCGTTCATAAATACTTTAGAAACACATGGAAGGACATGATAAAACTGCAAATGTAAAATTATAGATACTTTAGGAATTTATTGTAAAGGATGCATATATATTCTATCATGCAGTTCATTTTTTGTTTGGATAAGGCCCTGCCATGAGTCTATCCTGGGCCCTAAGTGCTGGGCAAAGCGAGACCCAAAGGAGGGCCCTAACCGGCTAAAGCATGGACCAAAGCGGCCTAGCCACCCACACAAGAGGGGTGCGACGGCTCCCCTAGAACCGTTGGCTGGCCTCCTCCCCCTTGGAGGAGTCCAAAGTATAGAGAAGAATCAGGAATTACTACTTCTTCATCGTGCAATGAAATGGCATGCCCCAAGGGCCTCCATGCGCAGACATCCAATGAAGAGCAAACTCAAGCCGAATGGAGGCCTCTGCCATCCATCCGTCTATAGGGTGCATCTAGCTGTCGAATAATGCCGATAAGTTCTTCATATGCAAGATAAGGACAAGAATAAATGGAAACAGAGATTGTTTAGGAAAGGAGAGTGCAAATCTATAATGACTCTATCTATAAATTGCTTGGAGGTCATGTCATTTAACGACTATAAATATAAGGGTCATGTACTTATTATAATTAACAAGAAAATAGAGGATTCATCCTCCTATTCTCCTGCCCCTAGCTTCCTGCACCTCCCTCTCCCTAGCCGTAGCCTCTTGTTGCCCTAGTCGTCCCTCCTTCCTCTCCCTCATCCTCTCCACTAGTCCAACACCACCAAACGAATCTACACCCATTACATCTAGTATCTAGGGACCAGGTATTAATGGATGATGACAATAAGGACCTCGACGCTGAAATGAAAGCTTGGCTTGAGGCCTTCTCCACCGACCTCACCAAGCGCATGGACAAGGTGCAAGAGTGCCTCATCAACATCAACAACTACCTAATTGCCATGGAGCACAGTGGCTATTCAACCACCAAGGAGGATGCCGACGTTGCAGCTCCAGCAAAGGCGAAGCCCAACCACAATGACATAGCCAAGGCCCTCGAGGACAACACCAAATATGCTATGGATGCTACAAGACGCACATTCCTCAAGGATAAGATGGAGAGCTCCAAGTCTTTGGTAATTTCGAAGATCGTGGAGCATGTGATGAACAATCTATTCATTACCAAGCCAGGGCCAGAGGTGCCTCCAAAGATGCCACTACCAACCACCACTTCCTCATCCCACCACAAAACTAGGATCCTTCCGATCATCCAACCCTACTATCACAACAATGGCAAGGAAGAACCACTGCCATGGCTTAATCATTGTGAGTAATTCTTCAGAGGCTAGTGCACCACGAAGAATGAGAAGGTTTGGTACCCCTGAAAGCCCTAGTTTGGTTTTGGCTAATTGATGAAACCTAAGTACTAACATTTGTCATGAGTGTCATGTGAGCAAGGTGAAAGCTCTAGTTTGGTTTTGGTTAATTGATGAAACCCTAAGTGCTAACCTAGTTTATCAAGATGATTATGAGATAGGTAGCACTACTCCAAGTGATGAAGCAATGACGAAGATCATGACAATGGTGATAGCATGGTGATGATCAAATGCTTGAACTTGGAAAAGAAGAAAGAGAAAAACAAAAGGCTCAAGGCAAAGGTATAAAATGTAGGAGCCATTTTATTTTAGTGATCAAGACACTTAGTGAGTGTGATCACATTTAGGATAGATAGCCGTACTATTAAGAGGAGTGTAACTCTCGTATTAAAATCGGTTATCAAAGTGCCACTAGATGCTCTAACTCATTGCATATGCATTTAGGATCTAGTGGAGTGATAACACCCTTGAAAATATTTGTGAAAATATGCTAACACATGTGCACAAGGTGTTTGCGGTGGTTGAGATCACATTAGCGCTTTTGGAAAAATGAAATGTCTATTTTCTATTGCGCGGATGCAAAATTCTTAGTGGTTGGCACATTTGAGAAAGGGTGAAGAAGTTAGAGTTGAAATGGAGTTGGTCGAAATGATGTTGGCGTCGGTCTCTTGACCGGATATATTTGAGTCACTCAATGACCGGACGCTGAAAGGCTACGTCCGGTCGGTATCGACGCAACCTGATGGGTAGGAGTTGAGCACCGGACGGCTGGTCTGCGTCCGGTCAAGGTGGACGGACGCGTCCGTCGAAAAAAACATGCCTCAGGAGCTTCTTCGAAACGACCGGACGCTGGGGCTTCAGCGTCGGTCGCTTTTTTGACCGAGCGTCCGGTCAACTTCGTAGCCGTTGAAATCGGCGAACAACGTTTGAAGCTGGTGACGCGCGTGGCGTCCATCAGGCGACCGGACGGCGAGGGCAGCGTCGTCGGTATATGACCGAGCGTCCGGTCGGTATGTGACCGAGCGTCCGGTCGGGCGTGTTTTGCCCGATGAAGGGGTACAACGGCTCTATTTGATGGGGGCTCTATTTATAGCCCCATGGCGGCTCAAGGGAAATCTCTTGCACATTTTCATTGACATAGCAACCTTGTGAGCTTAGCCAAAGCCCTTCCACTCATCTCCATCATTGATCCATCATCATTGTGAGATTGGGAGAGAATCCAAGTACATTGCTTGAGTGATTGCATCTAGTGGCACTTGGTATTCGTGTTCTTGCTGTGGATTTCGCTTGTTTCTCTTGGTGGTTGCCACCACCTAGCCAGTTGGAGCAGCGGTGAAGGATCGGCACGAGTTGGTGATTGTTCGTGGCCGCCGGTGATTGTGAGGGGAGTTGTACCTTCCGGCGGAGCGCCGAAAGGTAACTCTAGTAAATTGCTCGTGTCATTGAGTTACCTCACTTGTGGGTCGGTTCTTGCGGTGTCCAATCAATCGTGTGGACGAGGTTTGTGAAACACCTCTTAGCCGCCCGAACCACCAAGTGTTGGTCGACACAACGGGGACTAAGCGTGTTGGCAAGCACGTGAACCTCGGGAGAAAAATCGGTTGTCTCTTGTCATTTGCATTCTCCGGTGATTGGCTATATATTCATCGTGTAATTGGTTCACTCCACAACCCGGCGGTATAATCGTCTCACTTACTCATTTACATTTCCGCAAACTAGATATAGCAAGCTCTTTAGTGTAATTAGAATTGAGAGCTTGCCTTGTGCTTTAAACATATCTAGTGGAGCTCTTTAGTGTAGCATTTGTGAGAGCTCTTAGTGAGTAGTGGTCAAGTAGATTGTGTGCCAATAGATCATTGCAACTAGAATTGTTGGATAAGTGGCTTGCAACCCTTGTAGAGCTAGAGCAAGTTTGCATTTCGCTATTTGTCTTACTAATCAAATTGCTCTAGTTGATTTGTAGTTTTTAAATAGGCTATTCACCCCCCCTCTAGCCATATTAGGACCTTTCACAAGGTTGGTACATACCAAGTGATGGAGCATGGTGATGAAGTCCATGGAGGTGAAGATGGACATGTGATGATGATGATCAAGCTCCAACTTGGAAAAGAAGAAAGAGAAAAATAAAACCAACGAGATCAAGGCAAAGGTATCAAATAGGTTTTTGTTTTGGCACTCAAGACACCATAGAGGGTGTGAGTGTTTAGGATCGATAGTCATACTATTAAGAGGGGAAAATCTTGGCTAAGCGGTTATCGAGTGCCACTAGGTGAAGTCATAATTGCATATGCATTAGGACCTAGTGTGCTAACAAATTAACCCTTGAAAATTCTTGGAAAAATGCTAACACATGTGCACATGGGTTATACACATTGTGGTTAGCAACTTGGAAGCAAGGGTGAAGTGTTTAAGAAGATAGAAAAAGGAAAGGAGGCGGTCTGCAGCGATCAGACTCTAGGCTCGGAGGGACCGGACCCTCCCTAGCCGAGTCCGGTCACTTAGCACAGAGGGCGCACGGTTCTGAGTCCGTGATCAAACTCAGGCAGCAGGGCACAGCCAGACGCTGGTGGAACACTATTCCCTCATCTGGTCATGGCGACGTGGTGCTCGGCTGGTTGACTGCGAGGATCGGACTCTATGGCGAGTCCGGTCAGAGTCCTTCGGACGCGTCCGGTCGTGAAATGGAGGCTCTGGGAGCTCTCGTTCTGCACCAGACTCTGCCTAGGGCAGAGTACAATCGTTGATCGGCGCGTCAGGTGCGAGGACGCGGTGTGCACGAGCGTGCGTGACCGGACTCTAGCCTAGTGCGTCTGTTCGACGTGCTGCGCGTCTGGTGACAACTTAACCTGGCACCTGAGCGGGAGATGACCGTTGGAGATTGACAGCCGAAGTTCAAAGTGAGGATGCGTGGCAGGCATCGGGTGACCAGACCCTGCCGACCAGACTCGGCCGTGTCTGCGCGAGCCCAACGGCTCTATGAGCCAAGGGGGCTCTATAAATAGCTTAGGGCAGCTCTAGCTCACTCTCTTGCACATTTTCATAAGTGATACATCCTTGTGAGCTTAAGCAAACACCTCCCACTCATCTCCTCTATTGATTCATCATCAAAGTGAGTTTGGGAGTGATTCCTAGTGCATTTGCTTAAGTGATTGCATGTAGTGGCACTTGGGGATCATTGTGGCAGCGGTTTTCTTGTTACTCTTGGTGGTTGCCGCCACATAGACGGCTTGGAGCAGCGGAGGAGCATTGGCACGAGTTGGTGATTGTTTGTGGCCATCTCCCGGTGATTTGTGAAGGGTCTTATACCTTCCCTGGCGAACTTGCGGGTAGGTTCTTGCGGCGCCCAAGTGTTGGGCTAGGTTTGTGAAACACCTATTAGCCGCCGAACCACAAAGTGTAGGTCGACACAACAGGAACTAGCGTGCCGGCAAGCACGTGAACCTCGGGAGAAAAAATGAGTGTCTCTTGTCCATTCATTTCTCCCGGTATTCATATTGTGATTGATTGTCTCTTGCCGGCATCGGTAACTATCTCTATCACTTGTATTACATTCATCTTTATTTGTGTAGTGGTAGTTGTAGTTGTTAGTAAGTAGCTCTCTTGTGTAGTATATAATTAGTTAGTTGGCTAGTGTTCTTGTTAGAAGTAATTAGTCTAGCTAGCTCTCTAGACTAGAGACTTAGCCAT